CAGTGGAGATAATTGGGTAGGCAGGATTTCCTATTTGCCTGAGCAAAAGTACCTTTGAACTTGGCATAGATGCTTTCATGCCTGCAGAGCGTGAAATGCTTATCACAGGCCAGGAGAAGGAAGAAGACACGCATCCATGAGAAACCAGCATCCAGCCCTTAGGACAGACATCTGTTGTGAATACCCACTCAGCTCCGATGGCCGGAGAGCAGCACCTGAAGGGACAGCAGCTAGGGAACTGTGTGTACTCTTTCCCAGTGGATTCTGCAGGTTTCTCAAAACCTGGGGAGTAAAACCCAGATATCGGGCTGTTAAAAGGCATCTCTGACTTGCCTCAGTCATGCACCATTGACTGCTCTTCCAAACAAATTCAGCAATGGAAGAAATTTATTTAGAACAGTAGCAAAGAATACATAATGAATACACAGAAGGAACTTCTAGCATTGAAAAAGGCTTGGTTGTCCTTTCCTGAAATGATTTCTACAGCTGTTTACTGATGAATTGGATCGTGTCTGAATCAGCACCACTCTCCTCTCATTTTGTACTCTCATGGGGAGCAACGGGCTGCTTCTCAGGAGTCAGTCTGTCCCTTCCGGCCGTCGGGAGTTTTTCTCTCTGGGTAGCTGTTTTGGTTAATGCGCCTTGATTCCTAGCCAATCAGTTTTTATGTGTGGTGTTTTTTTTTGCAACTTTTTAATGTAATTCACAGAGTATTAATTTTACCCTCTCAAGTGTAGAATTCAGTATTTTTAGTATATTACAAATTCGTGCAACCATCACCACTAATTCCAGAACAAGTAAATCATCCCCCAAAGAAACCCTGTCCTCATCTGCAGTCATTCCTTATTTCCCTCTCACACAGCTCCTTACAGCCACTCATCTCCTTTCTGTCTCTGAGGATTTGCCTGTTCTGGACATTTCATATAAAGAGAACCATACAAGACGTGGAGTTTTGTGTCTGGCTTCTTTCACTTAGCAGAATGTTTCCAAGTTTCATCCATGCCATAGTATGTTCATCCACACTATAGTATTTCTTTTATGGCCAAGTAACATTCCACCGCTTGGATATACCACATTTTGTTTATCCATTCATTTGTTAGTGAACTTCTGGGTTTTTCCTGTTTGGGGGCTGTTATGAATAAGGCTGCTATGTACATCCGTGTTCAAGATTTTGTAGGAAGATGTTTTTGATCCTCTTGGGGATGCCCCGAGGAGTGCACATCATGGGTCATCTGGAAACTCTTTAACATCCCTAGGAAGGGCCAAATTGTTTTCCAAAGCGGCTGCTCCAGTTTACTGTCCCCCCAGCAACGGGTCTCGGTACGTGTATGAAGGTTCCAATTATTCCACACCTCCACCAGCACAATCTTTCTGATACAAGCCATCCTCGTAGCCATGACGTGGTATCTCATACAGGTTTTGATGTGCCTTTCCCTAATGACTGATGATGTTGAGCATCTTTTTATGGGTTTGCTGGCCATTCATAGCTCTTCTGTGGAGAGATGTCTCTAAGTCCTTTGCCCATTTTAAAATTATGTTATCTTTTTATTATTGAGTGGTAGGAGGTTCTTACATGTTCTGGATACTTGACTCTGATCAGATTTATGATTTACAAATCTGTTCTATTCTTTTTTTTAAAGGATTTATTTATTTATTTATTTATTTATTTATTTATTTATGTTAGAGAGAGAGAGAATATGCATGCAGCATGAGCAGGGGGAGAAGCAGAGGGGGAGGGAAGGAATCTCAAGCAAACTCCACACGGAGCCCATGTGGGCCTCGATCCCACAGCCCTGAGCTCAAGACCTGAGCCAAAACCAAGAGTTAGATCTTAGCCACCCAGGTGCCCCAATGTTCTCTTATTCTATAGATTGTCTTTTCACTTGTTTAATAGTTTCCCCTGATGCACAAAAGCTTTAATTTTTTTTTAAGATTTTTATTTATTTATTTGACAGAAAGAGACACACAGTGAGAGAGGGAACACAAGCAGGGGGAGGGTGGGAGAGGGAGAAACAGGCTTCCTGCCGAGCAGGGAGCCCGATGCGCAGATGCACAGCTCGATCCCAGGACCCTGGGGTCATGACCTGAGCTGAGGGCAGACACTTAACCGACTGAGCCACCCAGGTGCCCCAAAGCTTTAATTTTTTATGAAGCCCAATTTCTCTTTTTTTCTTTTGTTGCTTTTGATTTGGGGGCCATGTCTAAGAAACCATTGCCTAATCCAAGGTCATGAAGATTTCCATTGTTTTCTCCTAAGAGTTTTATTTTCTTAGTTCTTACACTTACATCTTTGTCCATTTTGATAAATTTTGCATATGGTATGAGGTAGGGGTCCAAAGTCACTCATTTGCATGTAGATGCCTAATTATCCCATCATCATTTGCTTAGGGTCTCTTCTTTCTCCATGGAAGAGTCTTGGTACCTTTGTAAAAATCAGTTGACAGTACGTGCATGGGTTTATTTCTAGACTATCAGCTCTCTTCCATGGATCTGTATGTCTATTCTGATGTCAGTTCTACACTGTCTTGACTATTACAGCCTTGAGTTAGGTTTTAAACTCAGGAAGTATAAGTCTTCCACTTTGTAATTTCTTGTCAAGATTGTTTTGGTTATTCTAAGTCCCTTGCATTTCCATGTAAATTTTAGGATCCACTTGTCTGTTTCTGGGAAAAAAAAAAATAGTTGGGATGATACTAGTCAAGTTTTTTCTTGATAATTTGAGACTATTTATTTGAACCCCTTGTTCCAGAGTCAGGAACTCGGAGTAATGAAGGTAACTGAGAGTATGTGAGCATAAATACTAACCACCCCATCTCCTCAACCACCAGACACATTAAGTAAAACAATGGATTATCAGTTTAGGAAGTCAAAATGCTCTGAGAGACCAGGCGTGTCCTGTTTCTGAATGCCCTCTTTTCTCCCCTTTGCCTTGCTGCCCTTGCCCTACCAGAACTCCAGAAAAAGACCGAGTGCTGGCCTGTGGCCTGCACAAATGGCGGGCGGGCTTCTGGCAGGTCATGTGCTCCTCTGGTAGCCTGGCTCCTGTGTGCTCTCTAACCTTTAAAGAGGGCTCTGGCCCCTAGCTCCTACATCCCACCGCAGGGAGACCGTAGTAAACCGTCTGAGCGCATAGTCTTGTAGAAGCCTCTCTCAGCTGGCTCTGTAGAGACACATGGAAGAAAATAGCACCTCAAGGGGCCCTGGGACTCTGCTTTGAAGCGTGTTGGCTTCAAATCCGCAGACAGCTAAGCACTCTAATCCGTAAGGTCAAAAAGCAAAATAAGTACATAAAATCAATTTTTAATCTTATAAAAACTCAACTTCGGTCCTGTGTAAAAGTCTCAGGGAATTCCACATTGCTACTATCCTGTTCAGCACTTCGAATTCTGTCCTCCTTCTCGTAGGCCATGCAGAAGTTTTTCTTTTCCAGAGCTGCGTTGTTCTGAATGTCCTGGGCAGGGATTCCTAGTAAATTAAACCTCTTCTTCCCCAAGCCTTTTGCTCCGCCCCTTTCTGAGGGGGTCAGATGGTTTACAAAAACTTCTGGCCTTCCCTTCTACTTACAGAATAATGAACTCCTGAGACCTCTGTAAGTCTGGCAAGGGGCCTGAGGGAAGAACTCAGTGGAAGGTACTTTTGTCCTTCTGTTTTTTGTGTGTGTTTTTTTTTTTAAGATTTTATTTATTTGACAGAGAGAGATCACAAGTAGACAGAGAGGCAAGCAGAAAGAGAGAGAGGGAGGAGGAAGCAGGCTGCCTGCCTAGCAGAAAGCCCAATGCGGGACTCGACCCCAGGACCCTGAGATCATGACCTGAGCTGAAGGCAGAGGCTTAACCCACTGAGCCACCCAGGCAGCCCTCTTCTGGGGTTTTTGAGACTCCATCCTGGTTGGTGATGAGCATTGGAACATATATGGCTGCATCTTAGGGCATTTTTTCCAGGAGCCTTAGCCTCCCTGGCCTTTGAGTGATAAAGTTTACCTGATACAAGGAACAGATACCCTTTGGGAGGTCCTGCCTGGCCTGGACCCCTCTCTAAGAATGGCTCCCTGGCTTCTGGTTGAACTCTACGACAAAAGTCCATCCGCTAAATAGTCAGACTCTCTTTCTGGAATCTGAGGGCCATCCAGACTGGAGTCAGTCAGTAGCAGGTATGTGGGCTTGGGTGCCTATGTCCAATGAGCGCATGCGGGCTGAGGTTGGAGAGAGGTGACTTCAATAAGCAGAGACCACAGGTTTAGGAGAATGTCATAAATGGGAGGAAGAGAGGGCAGTCATCTGCGTCTTCTGGCCCCGTGAGTCCCAGTTGGGTCCACTACAGGGACCAGGTCCAGTAGAGAGGCACGAAACCAAACCTTAGCTGACACCAGTTTAGCTCCTCAAATTTTGCCTCCTAAGGGAGTTGGGACCCAGGAGGATGAATGTGAATCCAGAGGCATTTGCTGTGTCCAGAGGACATTTTTCCCAAGTGTCTTGCTTCTTTAAAAAGAAAGAAAGGAAGGAAGGAAGGAAGGAAGGAAGGAAGGAGGATTTTTTACTCTAGAATAGATTTGTACTTCATTAAGAAGTGTTTTCCTACGAAGAACTGTCAGGGCTTAAACAGTGCCCGGTATCCCCGTGGATTCCGAATTCAGGATGTACCAGCCCTAGGATCTGAGGAGCAAGGAGTTCGTCCAGAAGCCTGATTTTACAGGTGAGAAGCATGAAGCCCAAAGAAGGGGTTCTTCCCTCCATCTTGTCCTGTCTTCTAATCGGAAAAATAAGGTTCCAGGACGGCAGTGAAGGTGAAGAGACCGACCGTCAGTGATTAGCGAGGTGCCTTAAACACGTGCCAACTTAAAACACACACCCCCGTGCCGAGTGAGGGGTGAAGGGCTGCGCTCCCGCTGGCCCCTCTGCCCGCGCCGCCGCCTCCCGCGCTCAGCCTCACCGCCCCGCGGTCCTCGTCCCTCTCCCGGCGGAAGCCCGACCCCGCCGCCGAGGCCAGCGCGCTCCGCCCCGCCTGGGCCCCGCCAGCCGCCTCCGGGGCCGCCCCCCGCAGCCGCCCGCGCCGCGGACCCGGTAATCGCCCCCGCAACCCCCGGTCCGGGCAGCCCCTCCGGCTCCTCGCGCCCCGGCCGCCCGCTCCCCGGGCTTGGAGGGGGGGAAGGCAGGGGAGGGGAGGGGAGGGGAGGAGCCCCACGGAGCCTGCGTCTCGGCGGCCAAGCTCCCCGCACACAGGCCGGCGGCGGGGCCGCTGCCGCCGTCGGCTTCCGGCGATCGCGGTGGCCGGGCGGGGGGGTCCTCGGTAGCGGCTTATCTGCGCTCTTGAACTCGCGGTTGACTTTACCGCGCGGCTTGTCCGCCTCGCCGCCCCTTCGTAACCTCTTAGCGGCGGCGCTCTGCCCACGCTCGGAGGAACCGGGGCGGGTCCAGGGTTTCCGAGGCTTTGCGCGGTCTGTAGGGTTTCTGCAGTCCCCGGGAGCCGAAACTGAGAAGTCCAACGTGTTTTCAGAGGCCGGGAGCGTGCCTTATCCTGCGGCCCTTATCAAAACCTCCTTCCCTGACCCAGGGCCTGGTTAGCCGGAGGACTGGTGCCCGGGGACCTTAAGCCGGGACCTATTTGAGACCAATGGGGGCCCTCCGCCCCCAACGGGATCTGTGTGCGATCAGTGGCCAGTTGCTCAGGCCCTCAGCTCCAGGCCCTCAGGCCCTCCTGCCCTGCCCCACTTTTTGTCAGAAAATTTCTTTACCTGCTAGCCCTTCCTGAAATGTTTCCTGGCCTTGGGGCTTTAAAACCAGAGCTCCTGGGGCCAGAGAAAGGTATTCAGAGCTTAAGCTCAGCTCCTAGACCTGGCACCTGGCTCCTGGGACCCTAACTGAGGGGGCACTGGGACCAGAGTTAGGCCTTGGGCGCCCTTGGATGTTCCCCTTCCCACAACCCCAGTCAGAGTCCTGAGCCCACACAGGACCAGTTAGCCTTGGCTAGACAGTCTTAAGGGTAGCTTGCCTGCGCTTCTAATGATTCTAGGATTAGGCCGAGAGGTAGGGCACTGGTTCTCAACTAACATGACCAAACCATTCTAGTTTGTTTGGCATTGATGGGTTTTCTTGGGACATGCTACTTTCAGTTCTAAAACTGGGAAGGTCCTGAGAAGAGTGGGACAAGTTGGTTACTGTCTTCTTAACCCTCACTGCACAGTAACATCACCAATGGAGCCTCTCACATAGAGGTTCTAATCTCATTGATCCAGGGAGGGTCCCAGATAGGAATACTTTCTTTAAAGCTCCCAAGCTGGGGCGCCTGGGTGACTCAGTGGGTTAAAGTACCTGCCTTCGGCTCAGGTCATGGTCCCGGGTCCTAGGATCAAGTACCGCATCGGGCTCTCTACTCAGCAGGGAGCCTGCTTCCCTCTCTCTCTGCCTGCCTCTGCCTACTTGTGATCTCTGTCTGTCAAATAAATAAAATCTTAAAAAAAAAAAAAAAAAGCTCCCAAGTTAATTCTAACAAACAACCAGAGTGAGGAACCACTAGGTTATAGGCAACATTGCTGTATAACCATCAAAAGTGGTTACTTTTTGAACAGACGTGGACCCAGTTATCTCTCAAAAGGGTGCCTGACCAACTGTGGTGGTCCTCTGTTTATCAAGAGGGCTATCAAAATGGCACTTGCCTTATTGCTATGATCTTTTCCCAGTTCCCTTATTCCTCCACAGTGAGGACCAAACTCTCTCCTTTCCTGACATGACTTGGCAACCCCTCTCCCAAGGTCAGTGAATTGGCCTCATTTTGACTGGAGAGGTCACGATTTGGACTGTCCCAGAGGAAGCTGGCTTGAGACTCAACAGGGCTCCAGTCTCTCAGGCTGGGATGCTTACCCCCATGAGTGGTGGTCCAAGGGGTAGCTGAGGGTGTGTGTACACTTCAGCTTTTTCCTGTGGGGTACTGAGCTTGGAGATCAGGTGCCTCTGGGACTGTTCCCTCTGCAGGCCAACAGGATCATGTGGTATGTCAGCACTAGGGGGATGGCCCCACGGGTCGACTTTGAAGGGGCCCTCTTCTCTGGCTATGCTCCCGATGGCGGTCTCTTCATGCCCGAGGAGCTCCCACAGTTGGGCATAGAGACCCTGCGTCAGTGGAGTTCGCTCTCCTACCCCAGTCTGGTAAAGGAGCTGTGCACCCTCTTCATTGGTCCTGAGCTCATTCCACGAGATGTCTTAAACGGTGAGCATCCCCAGCCTCCCTACTCTCCCACCTCATTCCCCTGCCAGTCCAGCCCCCACCAGAGCTGCGAATCCATCACTTAACCCCTAGAAAGTTTCTAGTCCTATTTCCCAAATGTTGGAGTTTTTTTCCCCAGATTCTAGGATCCCAGAAATGGCAATATTCTCAGAGAATTTATCCATTCCACCGTCCATCTCCAATGAGATGAATGCCATGGTGATCTGCAGATAATGTTTTCCTTTAGTTTATTTTTCAAAAACCTCTTTAAGGCTAGAGACTTCACCAACATCCTGAGATGCTTGAATGTTGGGCTGTTTCCTACTTGTATATAAAGCACGTGGACCCAGATGACTGTTCTGTTTCTTTGAATGGTAATTCCAGAAGGGACTTGGAGAGTGTCCTGGACCAACTCCTCTCAAGCTGGAATGTGCCCATCGATTTCCCTGGGGATCCTGTTAAAATGCAGATTTTGATTCAGTAGGTCTGGGGTGGGCCTGAGACTCTGCATTCCGACCAATACTATAATACTAGTGCTGCTAGTGATAATGCTGCTAGTGATATCACTGCTAGTGATAATACTAGTGCTGCTGGTCCATGGGCCAGACATGGGAACGAATCCACAATGTGGTGGTGAGAGTTCAGGGCTGGAAGAAGAGGACCACTCAGGAATGTGGTCTAATGGCACTGTTGGCATTGCCCAAGCTCTTATTAGAATTCTCTGCCTTCCTCAGACCTTCTGAACCAGGATCTGCATTTTAAGGTCCCAGGTGATTGGTTTGTCAGTTAAAGTTTGAGAAGCACTACCCAAGATAGACCTGCCTTAGGCAGGATTATAGGTAAACCAACCCCAGTCTCTGGTATCACAGGTGTGAAATTCAGTGCAGCAAAAACAAACAACGTCTGGTCTTTAGGAAGGAACATTAGAAGAGATGAGACATGGATCCGTTTGTTGCACAGTTGTTGAATTGAACCTCAGTTGGCGTGCATGCCCACAAGACATCCAAATGATGACGTTTATGAAGTGAAAGATTGAAGTCTTAGACTATTTCTCTTCTCTGGGGGGCATCACTCAGGAATCTACAAACAGTGTGGTTCATGTCTTTTCAGACTTTTGCCTAGGATTCAGTAATTCTATTCATCTATAGTCTCCTTTGGGGTAAACGTTTCCGGTTCTCATATTGGGTAGCAGGAGAGAGAAACTTGACCTTCAAAGCATGGAGAGACGGGGTGGGGTTGGGGGGAGAACCGGAGAACCTGAGGCCGAGCTCAGGCCTTCCCCTGCTGTTCCACATCTCTCCCTGCACAGATCTGATCGACCGAGCCTTCCACAGATTCCGCCACAGAGAGGTGGTCCATCTGTCCAGACTGAGGAACGGGCTGAACGTGTTGGAGCTGTGGCATGGGGTCACATACGCATTTAAGGACTTGGCCCTGGGCTGCACAGCACAGTTCCTGCAGTACTTTCTGGAGAAGAAGGAGAAGCACGTCACCGTGGTTGTAGGTGTGCACCGTGGTTGTAGGTGTGCATCGTGGGCATGAGGGCCGAGCCCCGTAGGCACCCTGATGTGCTAGTGTCTACCATAGGTTGCTCCGCATGGATGGCTCGAGGAGCGTGTGTGACTGGTTCTTCTAGAGCAGGGTTTGTCACCCTCTCCTGTGCCGTGGACCCCTTTGTCAGTCTGGTGGAGGCTATGGAACCTTCTCAGAATAATATTTTAAGTACCCAAAATATGTAAGATTATATGGTACCCAGTTCACAGATGCCTTGGTTTCTGTCCCCTGGTCTCTAGGAGGTGAGTGGACCCCAGATTAAGTACGAGGTTCCAGCTCTCCAGGTATCTGAAGTAAACATTGCCTCCTGTGGCGGGGTTGCTTTAGGGACCCTTCTTTCCTTTTCCATTGCCCTTGTTGTACAGGGGAGGGTTATTTTTTCTTCCTATCCAGGAACATCTGGGGACACAGGAAGTGCTGCCATTGAGAGTGTTCAAGGAGCAAAGAACGTGGACATCATCGTTCTGCTGCCCCAGGGTCACTGCACGAAGATCCAAGAGCTCCAGATGACCACGGTGCTGAGGGAGAACGTCCATGTGTTCAGAGGTGAGAGCTGGGATGGAGGCTCCAGGGAAAGCGTGGCCACCTCGAGGGCATCTGTTTTGGGAGATGGGCTGGAGTACAACTGGCCAGTTGATGAGTTGACCATCCTTCCTCCTGCCTTTTCTCTGCCCCTCGCTTCCTTCATCAGTCATGAGGTTGGTATATGCCTTGGCTTAGCTCTGGGCAAGCTCTTGACAACACAGTTTCAGAAGCTATTGGAGGTGACAAATGCACAAACCGCTACTGATGGTATAACCCAAGAAGTGGCGGTTGAACACCAAACCCCAAAGAACGCCATTTCTGTGTGGGTTCACCCTACTGGTGCCATATATTCAGGCCGCCACCAGACCCACAGCCCAAGCCAAGTGACTTGGGTTTTGTTCCAGGGCCCTGAACTTCAGCGGACACAAAGACATTCAATAATAATTTTAAAAGAATGTGCCCTTACATGGTAACAGCTCATGCCCTCCGTTATGGTCTAGAAACTACTCAGTCAGGCATTTGGTTAGCAGGTGTGGGAAACTACTCAGTAGTACCCACTGGGCATCTGTTCTGTAGAAATCGAGACTCTAGAAGGACAGAGGGAGCTTGAGGAGAGCCGTACGTGCTTATTTCCACTTTTCACACCTAGTTAGAACCTAGGTAATCCCAAAGCAGGGATGGGGGTATGAGGAGTAGGGGGTCTTGGTGAGGTTTTGTACACTGTGGCCCTGGGAAAGCTGTCCGGGAGGCCTGGCCTGGCTTGGTCACTCACTTAGCAGGAGAGCAGTTGGTGGCAGGAGGCATTCCTCCTACACCTCACCCAGGCTCCTGGTATGACCCCTCAGAGGGTGCTTTTCATAGAACACGGATTTCGTCAAGGAGCAAAAGCATAGGGCAGACAGACCTTACTCATGGGGGTAGCATGAAGATCCTTTGTCCATGAGTTCAAAAGTAAGCCCAAAGCCCCTTCTCCTCTTTTCTTTAATAAGCACCTACATGTTCCAGTGAAAAGTTTTGGGTTTAGCTAATGCAGGTGTTGGAAAATCTTACATGTCCCTTAGCACTGGTCGCTCCCCATATTCAGCTGCATTTTCCCGCACTCATTACAAAATTTGGATGTGTGATATCTGGGCTCCCGAGGGTCCCTGTTACACCCTAAGCACTATGATTGCTAGTTGTAGATCTAGGACTATTTTTGCCTAGAATCGAAGCAGAGAACAACATTTTGTACATCTGTCCTGCCACCTACTCCCTTCTTGCCTTATACCAGGTATTGGAAGGCTTTTACACGAGGACTTGTGTGTAAGCTCCGTTATTGACCATGGAGCAGAGAACAGTGCCCATTTGCAAAATAGTAGGAGAAATGTGGATGGTCATGAGTGCCCTATGTCATAAATGTTTTCTTGCTGGAGCCCAAGGGACATTTCTGTTTTATCCGTGTTATGAGCTTCAAGAAAATAAGACAGCGGACTTTACATATATTAAGTTTTGTTCCTAAATAGACCTGTTCAGGTCCTTCCTTTCCTTTCTGGAATCTTCTGACCTGGTTTCTAGGAGGATGGATGTTTTTTCCGGAGCTAAGAGTGGACATGTCTTTTCCCTTAGACCAGGGAGCTCAGGGAGTAGGGATGGGCCACCTGAATTGTTGTGCGTTGGACACTGAGGTTTTTTTAAGACATTAATTTTCATATGTATTTTGTATTTGGTTCTTCTTAAGCACAGAATAATGAGCAAGTGCTAGTTATATATTATTTAGGATATTTTTGGCTGGAGGTGACAGAAAACCTAACTCTGACCAGCTCGAACAGAGTATTTTCCAGCTTGTATAACTGGAATAGTTGTGTAAGTCCCCGAATGGGTTCCTGAAGAGTTGGTTCAGCGACTTAGCCGTCCCTCAGCAGAGACCCAGGTTATTTGCATTCTCTGCTCTGCCTTCCCAATCCTAAGGCTCATCTCCCTCATGGCTTATGATGCTTACTTCAGGTAACTAAGTCTCTCTTCCTGGGCCTCTGTCTTAAGAGCAGTGAATCTTTTCCTAGAACCCCAGCAAACATCCTGCTGGTGTGTGGATCTGGGGTCAGCCCCATAGCCTCATTGCCGATAAACAGTGCAAAGTGGAATGAGTAACAACCTTGGGGCTTACTCTGGCACTTCCTGCAGTAAATCTTACCCCTGTCTTTCAAGTTGGGATCAAGTTTGGTGGAGAAATAGACCCAGATGTCAGATAAGAGATCAATATTGGCTTGGTGCCTAGTTGGGCTGGACTGAGGAGGGCAAGTTGGACTAGTAGCCAACTCACCTGTAAATTGACCCAGTAATTCATCCATAAATTAAACTGTGCCCACACCCAGCTCAGGGAGGAAAGGTCCATGACAGCTTACCTACCACGTGGGAGCAGAGAGCAGAATGCCTCTCTTTCATCTAACTGAGAGAAGGGCAGAGCATATGAGAACAGATAATCTGTACCCCCAAGTCCTGGTAAAGGACCAAGGAGTAAAGAAAAGATCGGCCTCTTGCCACACCATAGCCTCAGAAACCATCTCTCCTTATTCCTACAGAGTGGGGCTAGCGGGCACGGACTCCAAGGAGGAGGCCTTTTCCCAACATCCCAGAAGGTTGACGGTTTATGTCTAATTTTATGTAATGGTAGAAATGTTGGAAGTACGACCTCAAGAATATAAGACATGGTTTCTTTCCTTGAGTTGCTTAATTTCAAGTCTAAAAAGCCAGGCCACGACATGGGAGAGCAGAAACCAAGGCTAATTGAAGGTCCCGGCTGGGTGGGCCCAGTGCGGGAGGGCCTGCTTGCAGATAAGTGCTGACTGGGGGTGCTCCGTGCTCCTGATAGCTCCCCTCCTCTCTCTTTCCTGACAGTGGAGGGCAACAGCGATGAGCTGGATGAGCCAATCAAGGCTGTGTTTGCTGACGTGGCTTTTGTCAAGAAGCACAATCTGATGAGTCTGAATTCCATCAACTGGTCCCGGGTCCTCGTGCAAATGGCCCACCACTTCTTCGCTTATTTCCAGTGCGCGCCATCCTTGGACACCCACCCCCTGCCCCCCGTGGAGGTGGTTGTGCCAACAGGGGCTGCCGGTAACCTTGCAGGTAAGGAGGCCCCTGGGCAGAGATGGGCTTTCCAGAAAAATGCCCGTAGCCCTCGTCCTCCCAGCTGCCCTTCGGCTGCAACTGTGAGGAGACAGTTCGAGTCCTCCCTCTGAAGGTGACAGGCAACCACACAGGAGAAGCCCCCAGCAAACCTCCCCATCACTCCCTGGGAGGACAGCTCGCTGCTTGCTGCAGGAGGGAAGGACGGGCTATAACCCCCCTTAGGAGAGTGTGGAGAGATGCGGTCAAGGTTCAGCTGCTCTGCTGGCCTGCCAGGGCCTGCTTCCAGAGAGGCGGACTTTGTTCCCGGCCTCAGCCAGAGGCCTGCTGTGAGGGCAGCCAGCACAACATGTTCCCACCCCAGAGTCCCTACCCAGAGACCGCGTGAGGTGGAAGGAGGTCTGACCCCAGAGAATCGCCCTGGGGGCAGTCCCTTAGACCCAGCCACTCAGCTGTAAAAGCAATACTGGATAGCTTATCGTATCTCTCAGGGCTCCCTTGAAGTGCAAGTAAGATCCTTCACGTTTGAGCATGAGCTTTGCAAGGGTGCTGCGCGGTACCTCTGCGTGGCCATAAAACCACCTTCTAGAATAAGAATAAGCATGTCTCCAGCACTTCCTATGCATCAGGTGCCTCTCCACGTGCTTTTCACGGGTCAACTTACTTAATGCTCACACGCATCTGTGAGGACGGTACTGCTGTCTCCACTTAATGAAGAGGAAGTGGAGGCACAGGGAAGTTAGCCAGCTGGGCCCTGCTTACACTCCGGTTGGGGACACAGCCAGGATGACCGCTCCTCCAGAGTCTGCGCCCCTTGTGAGCTTCCACGGCTGCCTTCTCGCCAGCATGACCATTTCGGATGGTTCTGTAGGCGGCATTGCTTCTGATGGGCGCCAAGGACGGCTTCTGTGAGACCGCAGAAGCAGCTCAGTGGTCCAGGGGTTTCCTGACTTCTTGTACTCCCACGGGGTTGGGACCGTCTTCACCACCCACGGTGGGGAAGCCCACTGAGCTCCCCATTTGCATCAGCCTCCCGTGGATGGTGCCACCTGCACGCATCCCAGGGCCCACCACAGTGGCTGGCATGAAACAGATGTTTGCAGAGAGTGCTCCCATCCCTCTCTGCTCCATCAGGAACTGGCTGTGGAAATTTAAACCCCTGGGCCCTGGTGAGCGTCCCTTTCTCCTCCGCCATACACAGAGAGCGTGATGTTTACAGGCGGATCAAGTGGAAAATAAGAATGTGAAAGTGCTTTTTGCAAAAGGCAGTGACGTTGGGGTGGGGTAGTGATCCCCCACTCCTCTTAACGACCCACCAGAGAGGAACCATTCATGGAAGTAGGTAAAACCTTCCTAAATGACTACCTCTCCCTCTCCCAGGGTGAGGAATTCTTTGTTTGTTCCATGCAAACAGGAGCTGCTGGCTGGGTGGGCCGAGGGCGCTGGAGGGACAGGGTGTCCAAAGGGGCCGCTGCTAGGAGGCTGAGTCGGGGGCTAGTGCGTGTGCCACCCAGCAGGCTTGGGGTGGGTCATTTCAACTTCCCAGAACCTTCATTTTCTCAAGTGATAGCGAGCAGGTATGCCTGGTGTGTATGTATGTGAGAGAGAGAGGCGAAGAGGAAGGGAGGCGGGGAGACATATGGAGGTGGAGAAGAGTATCGGGACGGTGGCATCTCCTCTTCTTTTCTGTTTCTGTGTGTGTGTGAGCTTTATTGTTATATAGTATAACTCATAATTTTACATACACATATATATACACATACTATACAATTCACCTGTTTAAAGTGTACAACTGAATAGTTTTTAGTATATGTCAGATTTGTGCAACCGTCCTCACAGTCAGTTTCAGAACATTTCTATCATGTTGGAAAGAAACCGTGTTCCCTCTAGCAGTGACTCCCCATTTCCCCTCATCTCCCCAGCTCTAGGCAACCACTGATCTATTTTGTCTCTATCAATTTGGCTATTCCGGACATTTTATAGTAATTTAATCATACAATAAGTGACCTTTTTTAGCTTCTTTCACTTACCGTTTTCAAGTTTCATTGACATTGTAATCAATACTTAGTTCCTTTCTGTGGCTGAATAATACTCCATTGTACGCAAACACCACCTCTGTTAATCCATTTATCATTATTGGACATTATTGGATTGCTTCAGTATCATAACTATTATAAACAATGCTGCTGTAAACGTTGGTGTCTAAGTTTTCATGTGGACCTGTATTTTCATTTCTCTTGAGTATGTATACCTAGGAGTAGAATTTCTGAGTCACAGAAAAAAAAAGTCATAACTTTTTGAGGAACGGTCAGACATTTCCAAAGCAGCTGCACCATTTTGTATTCCCATCATTTGATATTCCCATCCCAACGCAACATGTGAGGGTTTTAATTTCTCCATAGCCCTAGGAGTAGAATTTCTGGGTCACAGAAAAAAAAAAAGTCATAACTTTTTGAGGAACGGTCAGACATTTCCAAAGCAGCTGCACCATATTATATTCCCATCATTTGATATTCCCATCCCAGCGCAACATGTGAGGGTTTTAATTTCTCCATAGCCCCACCAGCGCTTTTATTCTAGCCATCTGAATGGACATGCAATGGTAGGTCCCTGTGACTTCGGTTTCTAGTTCCCCGATGTTGAGTATCTTTTATGTTCTCACTGGCCATGTGTATATCTTCTGGAGAAATGTTTGTCTTGGTCTTTTGCCCATTTTTAAATTAGCATATTCGCATTTTTATCATTGAGCTGTAAGAGTTATTTACATATTCTGTATGCCAGTCCTTTATCAGATATAAGATCTGCAAAATATTCTTTCCCATTCCATGAGCTGCCTTTTCATTTTCTTGATAGTACCCTTTTGAAGCACAAACCAAAATTTTCAAGGAGCACCAAAGTTTCTTAATTTTGATGAAATCCAATTTATCTAAATTTCCTTTTATTTCTTGTACTTTGGGCATCATGTCTGAGAAAGCTTTGGTCCTCTCCTCTCCTGTCTTAAGCTGGGTGCCTTGCTCAGAAGATGGGCCTGCCCATCCGCCTGGTCGTGGCTGTGAACCACAATGACATCATCCACAGGACCGTGCAGCGGGGAGACTTCTCTCTGTCCAAGGCCGTTGAACTGACCTTGGCTTCAGCTATGGACATTCAGGTAGGACCTGTGGGAAAGTGTGTGCTTGGCCCAGATTTTGACTGGGTGGGATGGACAAGGGCTGAGGTCCGTGAGGTCCTGGCACCTTGCCTTCCTGCCTAGGTGCCCTACAACATGGAGAGGATCTTCTGGCTGCTGTCGGGCTCTGACAGCCAGGGAACGAGAGCTCTCATGGAGCAGTTTGAAAGGACCCAAAGCACGAGTCTACCCAAGGAACTGCATGACAAGGTCAGTCACCACCCACACACCACAGAGAAAGCAAAGGGTGCAGCCATGAAACCCAGCTTGGGTTTGGAGATCTGGTTAAGGGAAGAGGGCACCTGTTTCTTGAGCACCTGCGATGAGGCGGGCACCTCTGCAGTCACTTTCTATGGATTAATTTATTAACGAGGAGACGCAGTAGAGAGCATTGGTTTAGAGACAGGGCCTGTTTCTTAAACTCTGTGCCTCAGTTTCCTCATACGTAAAGTGGGGCTTACGAGAATGCCTACCACTGTTGAAGATTGAAGTCAAATAATGCCCATGAAGCACTTTGTATACTGCCTGGAAATATAGGGCTTGGTACATGCTTGGTACATTAGCTATTATTATTTCTATTATTGTTGTTGATTTTCAGCAGTAGCAACAATTGGCAACATTATCCTCTTGAGCTGTCTTTTTAAAAGGAAAAGGAGAAATGTTATTTCTTCAGAGTGATAGGAATCTAGTTGGGAAGGGTTGCTTTTATCTTATTTTATTTTATTTATTTTTGAGAGATAGAGCGTGCGTGCGAGTGGACGGGGGTTGGGGGAAAACAGAGGCAGAAGGAGAGAAAGAATCTTAAGCAGGCTCCATACTCAGCACGAAGCCTGAAGCAGGGCTTGATCTCACAACCCTGAGATCATGACATGAGCCGAACTCAAGAGTTGGACCCTTAACTGACTGAGCCACCCAGGTGCCCTCGTTGCTTTTATTTTAATGCAACCTGGTGATGATCCACTTATTTTGCCTTAAGAAAAAGGATTTTGTACGTTGACATTGCCTTTAATTTTCTCTACCACGTCCCACCAAGTCGTCCAGACTCTATGTCCAGGGACCAGGACCTTGCACCTCACACCAGCTCTCATCGTTACGAAGTTCTGTATGTTGAGCTGGGATCTCCTCCTTTCAACTGAACTCTGCATGGGGGAGGCCGTGTGATTCCCATATTTGAAGAGAATTTCCATTTCTCCGCTGAGTCTTCCCTGTTCCTTTAGCTGTCCCTTATGTGACCAAATTTCACCTAGCCAATGACTGTCTTAAAGGTTGTTTCCAGAACTGGATATAGTTCTCTGGGCTTAGCCAGCCATGCACACCGGAGTGGAATTTGGATGTTTCCTGTGACACACACCCTGTCTTCATTGGTGCTGCTATAACAAAGTAGAGACTGAGTTGGCTATAACCAGTAGACATCTATCGCTCACAGTTCCAGACGCCGGAAGTCTGAGATCAGGGTGCCAGCATGGTTGGGTTCTGGTGGGAGCAACTTCCATGGAAACGGTGGCCAGTCAATGTGTTGTCATAGCCTCGCATGGTGGAAAGGCATGCAGCTAGCTCTCCAGCCTCTTCTTATAAAGACACCTATCCATTCACGAGGGCACCCCCCCCCCCACCAATGACCTCCCCAAAGTCCCACCTTCTGATACCATCACACTGGGATTCAGTTTTTCACATATGAATTTGGGCGGGATGGGGGGACCCAAACATTCAGACCATAACACAAAGATCAACTTACTCGGTTAATGGTTCATTCTCCTCATGTAAATGAGGTGCTCCAGGAGCATAGTCACCAGATCCCACCCTGCTTCATTCTCTCCCTGGCTTTACAAGACTGTCCATCTGCTAGAACAGCTGTCACTCACTCTTTCCTTCCTTCCTTCCTTCATTCATTCAACATGTCTCCTGTAACCAGGAACCGTGCTACGTGCTAGAGATAAACAAAGATAAAGAAAACACATTCTCTCTCCACCGTAAACCCTAATGGGACAGGTAGCTGTACAAAGGATTTATGGCACTTGTGGTCTCTACTGTACGCATATATAGGCGGGGTGATGGGCACATTGATAGCACACAATAAATTTTCAGAGAACGATCAGCCCTCCCCGCTGAAGGGGCAGTGGGAAGGGAGTCTGCCTTTATCTGCTGGTTGCAGGGAGGCTTCCTGGAGAAGGTGTGACCTGGACTGGGTGGGAGCTCATTGCGCCCACTGGAAGGGTTTGTACCAACGACAGGGCACCAGGAATGTTTGAATGCCCTTAACCTTCTGTGTTTTGTCCGTTTGACAAAACTATATACAAACTATATACAAACTTGCTAATTCATGAGCTAATCTGAACTAAATTTATGGGCCTGAAACTCAAAGGATCCTTCCCCCAAGCTGAGGGAAGCAACTTAAAACTGAGAAACACGGGAACCAGATTTTTCTCTGAGCTGAAGTTGAGCAACTTAGTCTGGAGATTCTTTCCGAGTGTCTGGTGTTGGCTGCCTATGTTATGTATTGTGTTTTGGCTCGCTTTCCTGGGTGCCTCCTGGACCCTGATTCCCACCCCTCTGACCCTGGGACCTGTCAGCTTTCAGAGGCCATGACATCTGAGTCAGTGTCGGATGAGGCCATCACCCGGACCATGAGTCGATGTTGGGAAGAGAACCAGTACCTGCTGTGCCCTCACTCGGCTGTGGCCGTGAGTTACCATTACCAGCAGACTGACCGGCAGCAGCCCAGGTACGGGCCGTGGGTGCCTGGGTCACCGGGGTACTCTGGCTTTTGGGGGACCCTCCTCTTCCCCAAGCAGGGGAGGCAGGAATCTGCACAAATGGCTTTCACGAGCAGGAGCTGTGCCCTGAGAACTGTGGTCCCGGAGGAGGGTGTGTGACAGCCCTCTGGGGGGCAGCCACGGAGAAGTGGTGGTTGAGCTGGGTCTCCCACAAAGAGGAGCAGTTTCCCTGGCAGTGTCTGCAGAGATGAGTTCAAAGTACCCAACATCTGCCTCTTTCTTTCTCTTCCTTTCTTCTCTGTGCACCACCCTATTCCTACGTCTCCTGTTCCTTCTCTCCCCTCCTCGCCTCCTCCTTTCCACATCTCTCTGTCTGGTCTCTGGCCTGCCCTCCTGTTCCCACCTGCCCCACCCCATAGCCTTCCCCGGTGCTGTCTGGCCCCCGCCTCTGCAGCCAAGTTCCCAGAAGCTGTCCTGGCTGCCGGGCTGACCCCAGAGACCCCCACGGAGATCCTGGCCCTGGAGTTCAAGGAGACGCGCTGCACCCCGATGCGGAAGGGTGACGACTGGACGCTAATGCTTCGGAACACCATTGAGGGCCTGAGCTGGCAGCAGAGGGCTCATTCCTGAGTGCTCCGGAATAGCCAGGCTGGATTTGATTTGAGTCAAGTTGCTCTGTTGCACTTGTATCAGAGTCCCCTGTTTTGTGAAGCCAGGGCGGGTGTCATGGCACCACTAAATAAAGTCGAAGTGCCTCCATTTCCGTGGGTACCTCCATAACTACGCTGCCCCAGAGAAGTCATACTGTCCATTCCTCTGAGACTATGACGCCCCCTATCCCCTCTCCGTGCCTTCCACCCTGCCTCTGGGACAGTCCTTTGATGAGTCGTAGTTCCTGCAAATTGTTGACCGACCGTGGAGTTGTCCCTCATCAGCCTGGATGGACATAAGGGCTCTTGATTCTGGCAAAATCATCAACAGTAGCTTTCCTAAGGCGTTTATTCCCTTCTACCCTGTTTTATGGTTTTCCACATTAGACATTACCTCCTCATCTTGAAGCTTCTTGAAGACAAGAACCCCTGTTTAACACAATGGGCTGGAACATTTTGGGTTGGCCCCTATTGACCAAAACATTTTAAAAATTTGTTCTCCCAACATATGTATACTAAAGTATATATAAGCCACACAAACCATATGCTAAAATAAGAATAGGAATAAAGGACTAATTAATGATAAAAACCTACATTGATAGGTTTTTAAGAACCTCCACATACTCTAGTGGCTTGTCTTGTGGACCATCTTTGACAGTCCTAACTGAGCTTGGTGCCTGGCACATTCTGTAACCAGCAGGAACTGGGGGTGCGGCATCCCTGTGATTGTCCATCTGCCCAAAAACTGTGTGATGGTTCTCAATGTATGGTCCTTGGGTCTCAAAAATGCACACTTCTGGCCACCTTCACATGCAAATCTCTAGGAATGGGGTGGACACCTGCAGTTCTTTTTTTTTTATTTTTTAAGATTTTATTTATTTGACAGAGATCACAAGTAGTCAGAGAAGCAGGCAGAAGGAGGGTGGGAGCAGGCTCCCTGCTGAGCAGAGAGCCCGACACCAGACTCCATCCCAGGACCCTGAGATCTTGACCTGAGCAGAAGGCAGAGGCTTAACCCACTGAGCCACCCTGAATAATGTTCTTACAAATTCCCTGAATAATGGGTGCCTGGGTGGCTCAGTTGGTTAGGCTTGGGTCATGATCCTGGAGTCCCGGGATCGAGTCCCACGTTGGGCTCTCTGCTCGGCGAGGAGCCTGCTTCCCCCTCTTTCTGCCTGTCTTTCTGCCTGCCTCTCTGCCTACTTGTGATCTCTCTCTGTGTGCCAAATAAATAAATAAAATCTTTTAAAAAAATCCTTATGCTCTCAATGGGGGACGCAAGGGGCACTTTGGAACACCGGTGAGAGGTGAGACAGGCACAGCATGAAGGGAGTTTGGGGGCCACTAGAGGACGCTGTTGCTACCACTCTGAGGGCTGCCTGGAGAAGGCATCCTGCCTCCAGAGGCCTCTTCCCAAACCCTGAGGTCTAAAGGAGCCTGTCACCCACGTTGATCCTGCCTGTCATTCCCACAGCAGAACATGCCGCTCCACAGCTCTGTGATGCCCGGGGAGAGAGAGAAGGCAGAGGCCGGAAGACACCCTCCTACTGGGAAATTTGTCATTGAAGCATGGCATTCAGTAAAAAGAGGGAAGGGCCATCCTCCTGTAAAAAAAACAGAAGGATGGACAGAGCATTCCTAAAGGAATGACAATGGCCCTTACAGGCCAAAGCACCAGGCAGTTTCAGAGACACTGTAATATCTACATTAGCAAACAGGATGGAGCCCTAGGGCCCCTTTTATCCACTAGGCACAATAGGTCTGATGCTCAGGAGTCACAATACATTTAGAGGCCTATGAAAATGTTTCCGTTTCTTTTGAAATCAAAAACAATGACTACAATCCAGCTTTATACCAGCATACTTGTACAGGAGAATTTTTAACATTTGTGATGGAGGAAGAAGGCCAAGGAAGCAAAAGTGCCCGGAAGTCATCACATGGGCCTGATCAAACCTACTCTGAGCCAGGCAATGTTTTACAAAGTGGCTGATTGAAACCCGTCCCCGGTGACAGAGGTATGGTTATTATCCGCATTTTGCCGATGAAGAAACCGAGGCACTCCAAGGTGAGTACTTGGCTGGGGTGGCACCACTAGGGGGCAGAGAGGCTGGGACTTGAACCCAGGTACTGTGTTTCAATGGACAGTTTCCATGACTCTGTGTCATCTACAGCTGGTCTGGGGGCCGCCGCTTCCCATCCTTCCCCAGGCTGTGGTCCTGCTTCTGGGTCCTCCTCCACTCTCCCTTTCACATGGATTTGGGAGCATGGCTTTGCATCTCTGAGAGGCCCTGGGGGCCTGCTGCAGCCCTGCTTGGCGGGTCTGTCTAATGGTACTGGCTCCGGCTCCCAGGCGCAGTGTGGGCTGGCCTGAGCCACTAGCTCAATACCTTTGGCTCCTGTATTTCTGAGGGCCTTGGGGCCGTGCTGGGGTCATAGGGACCCCAAAATCCCTGCCCTCTGGATGGCTCAGAGACCTCCAACTCTGAGAGGTCACCACACTTGGAAGAAGGGACCCAGAATAATGCCACTGAACACAGTGCTAACAGAGGCAAAACATGAACTGCAGGATATCCTGGCCACCGGAGATCTTGGGGGCCAATGGAGGAGCAGGGCAACTCTGAATGGAAAATCCAAAGAAGCACCCACTCCATGAACATTCAACCTGGCTATCCCAACACACAATTACATACACATGCACACACACCCATACACACACACGCATCCCACGGGAACCAGTGAAGTTAGAACAAGCCAAAGTGCTCCTTCCTGAGTCTACCACTTACTGGCCGCACGATTACAAGCCTTTTCACCTTTGTGAGCCTCTGGTTCCTTGTGGGCTAATTCCAGTCCTTACCTGGCTGGTTTGTTTTGAGGATTACATGAGATAATGTATTTCCAAGTGCTAGGTAAATGCTAAAATGCTACACAAATGTTTCTTCTTATTAAGACAATTATAGTCTGCACCGAACAATTTAGTACTTTTAAGCTATCTTGTATTTTTTACTAATTGCTTTGTGAATTAGTCTTATCTTGCCACAAGACTGCCTCTTCCTGGAGTACAGTGTTCGTCTGCGGCCCCGTGAGGCTGGCATAGCTCTGGGCACTGGGTTGGAGATGCTCTCGTCAGCCTATGTGCGTGGCAGCAGGCTCTGCGAGCCTCATTCTGCGGCTCAAGGGCACGGATTGGTCAGTCGTAGCTCTGCTCGCTCCTTGACAAGGCTTGCTAATTTGCAAAGATGATGGTGATGGAAGGATGCCCTCTCTTGAGCACCAATGACCGGCGGAGCCCTTTTCGAGCACTTCCCAGACATTGACTCTTTTGATGCAGACGAGGACTGTATGAGAAAGTACTATTAGGATCTCTGTTGTAGAGATGAGGAAATGAAACTCAGAGAGGTTAAGTCACTTGCAGAAGGTCACACCAGCTAGTGAGTGGTGGAGGAGAGATGTGAGGCTGGGTGTAGGGTCTGTCAGCTCAAACATCGTGTGAGCCAGGGAGAGGCATTTTGGGCAGAAAGCCCTCTGTGTTCTTTTGAAATCAGAGTCTGCAGTCATCTGAAGGTTAGATGGGGAGATGGGTGACTCTGAAGATGGCCAGTGCTCTGGGGAGGAAGCAGGGAGACAGAACCTTCGCAGGAGGCTTGCCCCTGGCTCCGGTTCCCACTGGTGGAGTGGGTTCCTCACTGGGGGAAGGCTGGGAGCAAGTGGTCTGCTGAGTGGGGTGGGTGTTGTCCCAGGATGAAAGTGGGTGACAGAGGTTCTGAGGGGTTTTTCAGCTGTCGCCAGAGAGGCCCTCCGCCTGGCGGGCCCCACTGGGAAGACCCAGAGGGATGGAGTTGGGAAGACTATGTTGAGTTTTCTGGGTCCCCAAATGAACAAATGGTGAGCGACACAAGGAGGGCTGGGCCATTAGCCTCCTGAAAGAGGAGAAGGATGACGTCTCTCTGTCCTGCTCAAGAAAGCTTCTGCCCAGAACCACCCTTCAACCTACCAGGAGTTAGGCCCTATGTTGGGTTCCAAGGGAGAGAGAAGGAGTAGGAAAAGATGGGGCTGGGGTTGACCCACGTAGGATAAAGATTTGTGACCACCCCCACACCCCAGGGCTGTGAGTGACCGGTTCTTGAATGCAGGAGCCCGGCAGCCCTCCTGGGCCCCCTCTACCAGGTCCTACTCCAGCGGTGAGCCACAGTGTTGCAACGACGGGTTTAGGGACCTGCTCGCTAGAGACATAAACATTTCTGGAAGACTGCTGTCCAGTACTCCATCAAACAGACCTAGCCCCCAAACCTAGCCTTCCTGAGTATGGCCTCAGTGAAAGGCTGAAGGGAACAGAACTGGCTGGAGGGCTGCAGGACCCAGAAGAGGAAAAACGACGGGAGGAGACGGAGGGCTGGGGGAGAAGAGGTCTTCTAGGTGCCAAGGCAGTCCTCCTTGATTCAGACTGTTTCCTTCTCCTCCTCAATAGTTTGGTCATCACAAAAACCTTTTATAAGAAGGTGGAGGGACCTCCTTGCCTCTGAATGAATGCTTAGGATCTAAGTAACCAAGGCAAAGTTCCCATAACAGGTACAAAACTAAGAACCCAGACAAAGCTCTGGGTCCTTCAGGCCAGGGTGAAACAAATAGAGCCTTCTCCTGGTGTGGCCACCAGGGAGACCCATGGAGTGTCACCTCTCCCGCTTCCCCTTCAACTCCTGGGGTCACTTGAATCACTGTCTTCCATCCACCATCCCTTACCCAAGCCTGGTCCCCAAGAAGAGACAGTGTTTGCTTGTGGAATGGATTCAGTTTAGGTCTTGAGGGATCGCAAGGGTTGGGGCTCAGCTCTGTGCCATGTTCCTGCAAATAAAGGTCATTTTTGCCCCCTTTCACCCCAATCTCGGACCAAAAAAATCCCTCCCAATTCTCCAAGCCCAGGGTGATCCCCCAGCCAGGGATTCACATGGCCAGCAGAGGGCAGCAGAACACCCCCCCAGGCCCTCTCCCTCCAAAGGTGATGACCCCAGCCCCAGCCCCAGCCCCACCCCTAGGGGCATGCAGGTCTGACTTTGTTCTCTAGGAA